TGCTCAAGAAGATGTCACTAGTATATTAAACTCAAGATTTTGTCAATAATACACGCTGCACAAGTCTGTACATCAAAAGTTCCGAGTTCAGCACAGCGTGTCTGCAGTGCCAACTAAATTTTCCTCAGTATCCACATAGAGCCCTGAATCACGTGCTAAATACTAGTCCATGTCACAAAACGTCCGAAATTCATACGTACGCATTCTGTCATCTAACCATCACACTTTTGTCTCAAGTAAACTAACTTCCGACATCAGAAGTAAATGAATTTTAAGCGAATATTTAACTATAATAGGAACAAGTGGTATGCACAATCCCCTACCACTGTCAACGTTTCACTAAGATTCAACCTCAGAAGATGTGGCGAACTACGGGAACACAGTAAATTTCCAAGAACTCCTGAACAAATCTAACTGGATGTTCACTCTTCTTCAAGTGAGATAGAATCGTGTCATTTATGCACTTGTTTGTACTTATAACCAGCTATACCAGTAGATATTCATGCGCACGCATGAGTAATGGTCTCAACTAGCTCCACAGGAGCATTGAACTCACAGATGAACATTGATAAAGGTATCATAGGTAAATTATCCTTGACTCGCTGTGTGAGTACTGGTTTAGTTCAGAAGTGATGAAGAATGTTCGGTGAACCGATGTGTTTAGTCGCCTTTTTGCAATATCATCATCAGTTTTCTTATCTATGGTATCCATCATTAACCTGTCTCTAGACACTAGCATGTAAATTCTCCGTTTCCTTGTAGTGTCAGCTTTAGTTTACCTACTTCACTAATTCATTTGTCTGAATATATACGTCTTATTCTATAGCAAACCACAACTAAATTCTCTCACGTACTGATGCGATCTGGAACTATGGGTGTTTTAACTATTCCAAGTCATCTTGAACAAACTTCTCTTCCAATATCCATCTGTCATCTTGGCAAGGAGGATATCTAGGAGGATTACACTGTTACTTTCTTCTTCCTCGGATGTGAACATAATGAAGAGTGAAAGCTGCTGGAAAGCAAGCTAAACAAAAGTCATTGCGACGACAGAGAACAGTGACAAAAGCAGAAGGGATGGAAAAAGCATCAGTGGTATGTAACACCAGGCAATTATTTCGTGATATTTGGTTGTAAAAAGATAAATGACTGGCAAGGGAATCTCCGAGAAAAGTGGTGCCTTAACTAGTTTGTAAGGTAGACAACTCTTAAGTTGGGGTGGGGGGACACTTCGATGAGAAATCTCAATGGCCTACAGCCACGCTCAACTTGCCAACCCTTCCACACCCAGCTGAATGAGATTTAGTAATATCTGATTCTAGTTGCACAAGAGGCGGGTGCTGTGGTTTAATTGGTCCAGTGGATACCGCTGTGGCGTATGGAACTATGGGTACTGGAATCGAGCCTCAGTGAGAACTGCTTCACCCGTACGGGTATGCAGGCATATCCAGTTGGCGAGTCCCTAATAAGACGAAATATCTATTTTACTGCTAGCCATCACTCACCAGATTACTTTAGGTTAAACCCTTATATATCGTCGAAGCCTCTGCACAAGGAGCACTTCAGTTCAATCTATCAACAGGGAAGTACAAAATGAAATTTATAAGAAGTCTCTGAACGTTTGGAATGCGATTTGCTCCTGTAAAATGTAAGATGAATTTGCACAACTGGACTTTGCCGATTCCAAGTTTAAAGAGAGGGAGTGAAGTGGTAGGGCATGTTGACCACTTCACCTATTTTGAATGTGTAATGAGCGAGGTGGGATGGATAACCTCATCCACTTGTTTCTAGGCGTAAGTTGGTAAATGCCAGACTGGCATTCTGTATCCATGCTGAGGTGTCGTCTGCCATCACCGTGCTGGGTCTGATGCAACTTACCAAATAAGTGAATTGTAGTATTACTAGTAGTAATGCACTTCGATATTAAGTTCGATATACGAAAATACAGAAATTTATCAGTACGTGACACATATGGACTTTTATTATTTTTATTACTATTCCCTTGGGTTTCTAGTGGAACATAGGACTTCAATAACACATCTTCACTTTCTTCTATTTACTGAAGTCCTCTTCAGCCTGGTCCACGATTTCCCATAATCTGTCATCTCCTCTTCTCACGTTCACCTCCATGTCACCCTAGGACGATTAACTCGTTGCTTCACATTTGGATTCCACTCGAGCAATGGCTTGTTGCGCCATGTCATTCGACGGTCTCCTTAATGTATGCCCGATCCATCTCCATAGCTGTTGAGCGATCGGCTCTTGGTTAGTTTGTTCCCAGCCAGAGTTTCTTGTTACTAATTATTTCCGACCATTTTTTTCATTATGGAGCCAATTAAGGCAGCTGTTGATGAAAGTTTGCAACCTGTTGGAAATCCATTTCGTTACACGCCAAATTTGTGATCCGTATAGAAGAACCGACTTGACATTGGTGTTAAAAATACGAATCTTATCCCTTATGCTGAGTTCGGAAGACTTCGAAACTGGTTTCAGGTTGATGAAGGCATATCTTGTCTTTCCGATTCTGGCCAGCTTTGACGACTTTATCCGTTGTGACTGCCAGTGGTTGAAACGTTGCTTCCCAGACAAGTGAAGGAAGTAACCTCTGTTAAATCTCTCCCGTTGATAGTGATTGATGCTGGTTGTTGTTATCGTTGTTGCTGCTGTTGGTTGGCTGGTTATCTTCATCACCTCCGTCTTCTCTATGTTCATGTGGAGTCCTGTCTTCTCTGGCTGCCAGACTCTTCATTCAGTTTGTTGGTTTTCGTCTACCTTTAAGTCTTCGAATTTGTGTGATATTATACACATATCATCTGCGAAATCCAGATCTTTTAGATGAAGTCTTCTTATCGTTGGTCCAGTCTACTCCTGTCTTCTCGCTCTCAACACACAATCTGACGCATAATCTAGTCAGTCGACCACAATTAAGAATATCATCTTGGGTGATAATAGGCAGTCAGCTTGTCTTACTCCTGTATGCACTTCGAATGCCTCACTGAGTTTTCCGTTGTGGATCTCCTGACACGTGGTATTGTCATATAGCCAGCTGTTGAACGAGGTTGATAAAGACTTGGTCACTGCACGGTGTAGTGTTGAAGTAGTTTCCAAATTACTTCTTGGTCAACGCTCTGTCGAAGGCCTTTTCGATGTCGATGAAGTTGGGGTAGAGGTTTTACTGCCTCTGTTTTGCGGTGACGATGTGTAGAGTTGGAGTCTGATCGTCACATGCTTTGCCTTTCCTGAATCCCAACTTGCTCTGGTCGATGGGGCGGAGTTCCGTATCCAGTGCATCCTTTATTCTCTTGAGAATGATGCGAATTAGTACTTTACTTGGCGTGGACAAGAGCACTATACCACGCCAGTTATTGGAAATGCCTAAGTCTCCATTCTTTGCGGCTTGACAAGGTAGTCAGCCTTTCTTCCAATCGGTAGGTACCTTTCCTTCTTTCCAAACCTTTTTCAACAGACATTTTATTACCTTTGTTATTTATCTCTAACTCTCCGTTATATATATGGTGAGATTTTGTAAATTCCGGTTTAATAATACTTTGATAAAGCTATTAGTATTAAATAACGAAACGTCACAAAAAACAATATCGCTTTGTTTCTTTTTCATTCATCGGGAAATACAAAAACCTTTGTTATAATGAGCCTGGCAAATCTATCTATATTGCATCTCTATCGAGTTTCTAACGACTGAATGTTTAAACATTAGTTTATAAAGTAATTTTTTGGCTGTTAGCAACCAAAGAAAAGTCCTGTGTACCAATGAATTCTTTTAATTTCACAGATATCTTTGCTTTAGTTTGGGACGAAGTGAATTGATGCGCAGCATTCATACAAGATACATTGGTGAAGCAAGAGATAAAATTCTCATTCCAACAACAATAGTATGTGATTTATCTGTAGTGTGTCTGTAGTTAGTACATTTCTAATAATTCGCACACAGATGTGCTTATGGGAAAAAATATTAAGAAATGACTTATGTCTGTTTCGTTATTAGGCTTCTTTTTGAATCTGTTCTAAACCTCTTCCTTAACTTTATCATCCTTTCACTTTATGATAAACTGCTGCATTGATCATATCTTCAACCTTCCAAAGGTTCGTGAACATATAAATACCATCTAATACTTCATAAACAGCATTTCACTTCGTCAGTCGAGGAGTGTTGTGGAAACGACTGACGTAAACTATGTACTATACTCGAACTCATGTAGCCGTGAGAAACCTTACAAAGATTTGCCATCTCAAATGGCAACTGGTGGTGTTCATCAGCGATGCTGAATTTCAGTTTTTATTTAACATCGTGACAAATGTAATGGTAAATGTGACCTAGATGAACTTCGACAACTTAGAGTTTGACTTCATACCAATTGATTTAGAGTGTACATCTTCAAATCTAGAGAACTCCATATGTTGATGTGTAGTCTAAGCGTCCACTGTCGGCAACCAGTCCCAATATTGTTCAGGATAAGGTTAGAAAAGAGTTAGCGGTGGTCAGACTCATCTATGAAATCTCTGACCGTTGGTTTGAATGTAGGTGTGAACTATCCGATTGCTGCCCATCAACAGATATGGACTCTTGGTGATATGGCTTGAAATAGTTCTCAATCGCGAAGACAAATGTCTTTATTTTCTCCTTCACACACTGAATCCTCAGCTTACTGTATGAAATTAAACATTCACTGCATTTATTCCCCTACGCTTATGTTCGCTCTTCTGAAATGTAATGAATCTAATTGCTGTACTTGTGTGCAAAGTTTTACGCTGACAAATCAGTCAGTTCCTCTGTAACATTCAAACTTATCTCTGATCTGAGTAAAACGGTGTCCGAAATAGATGAGTTGAGTGTATAATAACCTCCTAAGAAGGAAGTGTTTGTGTGTGTTTAAGGAGTCCAAAAGACAAGTGAGTCAGTCATCCTTTTGCATGAGTAACTTCAAACTTGTTTAATTTCTTGCACTAAAAACGCGTCACACTTACTATCCTATAGTTAACTAATGTATTTCTTTCGTGATTTTTATTTTTCGACCTCATCTATTGATAATATTCATTTGTTATCATTAGTACCTAGATCCTTGGCTGATGATGCAACCGTTTCGTCGGAAGAGGACTCCACGCTACCCTTGGCGGCTGTAGGAAGTGAAAATGATGCATACAAGGGATCTCCTGCAATCAATGCTTTGGTAGCTTTCAGTAAACCTTCCTACGGTCTCTACTCTGGACGGCGCGAAATAAACCTACCTGTTGGGAAAGTTTCATCCATCGTAGCGTCTCTAGCCTATACTAATCCTGCTAACAGCCAACAACATTTCACACTGGATTTCATCGAAGGTGCTCTTCACTATCCAATGTACTATGACTACCACATACAAAACTTTACTAAGCAGCGTCTCCATAAAACTTTGAACCCGGTCAGGAGGTTTGTTGAATTTTCCTAGCTTAACTTGATCCAGGCTTCTCTTTTTTACAGGTTCAGACCAGCAGTTGAGTTAGCTGGTCGATCATTCGATCTTTCTGTGGTTGTTTACTATCACGACAACAATAACATTTATTATGCCCATAAATTATTTAATCAGACTATTAATGTAAGTGTGTTTTTGCATTCATAACAACTCCATGTAGCTTTATGAGATTGAAGAGGGCGTAGACACACAGTTAATATTCCTCGTTGTCCTGGTGATTGCTCTCAGCATTGCAGTACTCATTGGCGCGTGGCACTGGTTCACCTCAAAGGCTAATCGTCGTCAACCTACCAAACAAACTTCGAAGTTGGTCGAAAATAATGCTGACAGCGGTGTAGTGGAGAATGAATATTTAGCACTGATCAATGATAAATCTCAAGCGAAGAAAGGTAATTTAGTTGAAACTCACTTTTGGCTGTGAGGAATAATGTGCAGTTTCAATTTTAGATCAAGTATTCTGATTAAATTGTCACGCTGAACTCAACTACATTCATCTGAATGTAGTGATAGTGTTTACTAAATTTATAAGGTAGTGGAACAACTGTTAGTCCAAAGCTAGAGTATTTCACATATTCCAGCCTAGTGGCTCTTGTGTTGCTGTCGAAACGATGTTAATTGTTGCCATTTTACTCTCTGTCTCTGATAAATTGGCTGATCACTACTCCAGTATCTTCAGTTTGAATTCATGTATGTATAAATTTTACAGAAGTATATCTACACGGTCGACTAGTGTTTCTAAAGACTCACGCGAATTAGGCATGTACAGTGGCTACCGATCCGCATTAAGCCATGGTAATTTACTACGCGTCTCATTCATGTGGACTGCCTTCAAAGTACCCCCTACTTGACGTTGCAGAAATTCTCTGCTTAAATGAACTGTATCCTTATTGTTATTTATGAATAAACTTAAACATATGTTTAACCTTTTTAGGTCGATCTGACCAGACGGTACGTCGCCGACAAGGAAGGCGTTGAATCATCCGACGTCTTGCAGACTAGTCCGAAGGCCAACAGTCATCTCGTGTATACATTTGTAGAAATGTTTATACATATAATATTGTTTTTTTATTTTTATTCTTCTTGCGTTACTGTATTTTCCTTATTCACTTTTCTTTGTTCACTTATACGACTGACTAGTTAGTGATGTCAATAAAGTTTATTTCTTTGGTTTACCTCTGGTTCTTCAAAAATTCTTTTTGTATTTAACGAGTATCGATTAATGAGTCATAATGGTTTTATATTAAATAACAGAATACATTGCGCCACTGGCGTGATATTAATAAAGAAGAGACGGGTATAAAAAGTGTCTAACACGCACGGAAACTCTAGGTAGTTGCAATGATATGTTGACTAAAATAACAGTTAACGAAGCATAAATGGTGAATTCGGTTATGCAGGGATTCTTCATTATGTATTCTTCCTCAGTGAAGTTTGATTCCTGGTCCAAATAGTGAATTTCGGCATTCTTGGCCAAAACTTTGAGATGCAGGATTGAAGAAAAACTATGGGGAACCAAAGACACCAAGCGATCATCTGCAAAATTAAAGTAAAAGTACAGTTAGGTGTGTTATCGCTGGTTTTTGATTCGACACTGCTGATTAACGGAGGTCACTACGTGTTTAAGCATCCATGACTATCGTGAGAGTGGTTTCTTCATCCACTATCGCTTCTACCTGATTGAACTAGACAGTGAATCCGAGAGATCGACTTCTGTAGGACGAAGGTTATGTCTACTAAATCAATTCGTGACACAAAGATTTCTTTGAAGAAGAACAGCTAGTGCAATCAGACCTTGGTGTTTATGGACATGGAGACTAGTATTTGGAAGTGTCGTGTGTCTCTAACCCGTTACAAAATAGTCCTATTTTGTGAGATTATATCTCTCTCGCATGTCTTGAGACAGTGCTAATCAAGAAACAAATCCATCCATCGTTGTTGGATCGTCCTAGAGGTGACTCACAAGTTATTGGCTTTTGGGATAAAAATTCACTCGAGGTGAACACGAGAGCTATGGTCAAAGGAGAGTGGGAACTGATATGCACATGTCATGAGATCACTTTTCCAAAGAGATCAAACAGTGTTTTAGAGAGACTAGTAGTGGTGTTCCGCTAGCTGAAACTGCATCTAATAGTCATCAATGAGGAGCAGAACTGTGGTTCGCTACTCCGTACAGAATAATTGTATTTAATATAACACGGTGATATAATGTTGTTTATATACTCATTAGGTTTCGAGCAGAATTTATTGCCCATAATCATGAGCATAAAGTATCAGTGAAATCTAATCATTAGCGGATGATTTCCTCTCAATGCCTGGCTATGAGTCACTTGCCTACAGATGTCCCTGAGTCTTATACAAACCCTCCTCATCGATCGTAAGTGTGACACAACAGTTCTGTCACCACGTTTATCTAACTACAGCGTACCTTAAACGTGACCGTCATCCCCAAACTAGGTCGAGAGTTTATATGTACAAGACATCAAACAGCACGTTGATTACTTTTGCCTGCAAATTTCATAAAATAACTGAGGATGATGCATAAATAAGGTAATCTTGGGATGCTTATTTATGCTTCACAACTGAAAACCCGTCATCGTTTTCAGTGGACCTCAGGTGTTTTCACAGCTAATTGTTTTTGAGTATCTTAGTAGATAGATAAATTGTTTTAGAAGCACATTGTAGGAAGTCTTACCCTTAGTATTACTTTAGGCTGCAGCTTTGGAGCAATGAAGCAGGTTAGAATCAAGAAATAAAACAAAAGTAAATCACTAATATGCAATCCGACAAAACCAACGATGCACAGAAGAGAAGAACTCGTTAGGAAGTGTAGAAGTGCATTTCGATACTGAACTCGATGTACGAAAATACAAAAGTTTATCAGTACGTGACGCATATGCACCAGGCGTCTACAAAAGTTCCAATAACACCAATTATCTTCGTAGCTTGGGGGATTTGTGAACATCCTATGAATAGAGAAAATATTTTAAATAAAGCTTACCTTGATAAAACTATAGGCCCGAAGTAGTCTGTCAAGCTGAAAAGCAGTCCCGAACAACCCACAACAAGCAGAACTGGAGGTTCAGATATATGCAGTAGCAAAAACAAAATGGTGATTGAAAATATCACAAGCAGAGTCGATCGAATACTTTTCCAATTCAATATATTCTCTAATTTCACAATTACACTGAACCAGTCTTGAAGATCTGCCATCAAAACCCTGACTTCCGGCTCTTCATTCACAATTCTTTCTACCTCCAAGACATCACGTGTTCTTACAGGACCTTTCATTGTTGAAGAGATAATCGGTACATCAAGTGATTTGTAACACTCCAACATTTCATCTACAAAATAGAATGACAATGTATATTAAGGATTTGTGGCTGGAAAATTCTAAGAGTAAGCTATTCTCTTGCCCTTTCACATCCATCATAATAAGTTTTCAGTGACTTCGGAGCATTTCATGTTTAGGCGCTGACCGCATAATCCACTATTCATTTATATATGCCTGTGTGTACTGTGATGAAAATTAACTTTATAACATCCAGTTTCTCTTTGGCCTTGCTTCCTTTAAAAAATAGTAGACTTGTCATCTTATTTATGTACGTCGAGCACTTAAAGCATGTTGAAATAATAGAATTCATAAAACGAAGTAGTCCATTGTAATCCTCGACATTGGAAGTGTTTAGACATAATTTCGAAGCTTAAGTCGTAAGCGGATGATGTTACGTTTCCACCCTTATCAATGGTTGAACCATCTATTAGTTGTCTAAAATTCCAGCAGTATTGGTTGACCAATCCATTAGGTTTCTTCTCGGAAACATATTTTCTGGATGTGACGGTAACATGATCACTTCTGCTCAGATTAGGAAGAAATTTTAGGATTTGTGTTACAAAAGCTTTTTGCTAGGAAAACAGACCAAGCGATATGGGCTTGGCTACTTATCTTCCAACCTAGTTACCGGTGACATTCTAAGTTAGTCCTAATTCTCAAACGAGGTTGGACAACACCCTGTCGATACAGTCGTCAATTTTCCTGTATGAGTTCCTCGCAATCAAATTCCAGGAAATCGAACACTCCAAATGTGAGCATATTTGTGTAGCCTATTTTGAGAAACAAACACTGAAACGACAAAAAAACAGTGGGCGTAATTTCTACGCATCTTAGTAAGAGTGGAGTATTTGGGAATGATTGTCAACTAAGTCACTTGGATAGGAGTTACTAGTCGGTAGAAAATGAGATAGTAAGGATCAACTCAAAACCCTTTTCCTAGACAACAGTATGTACCACGGTGCAAAAAAGCACAATAATTAGGCTATTATCTTTTCGCTTTAGACCAAAGAATTACCCAAACGTAGTTAATTCTTCATGGTTTTGTACGCCGACGAGATAGTTCGGAATCAGTGAGCTATCTCTGCTCACCGACTCTACTATGTTCCTATACGCAGATGACTTGAAAATCTGAAGAGACCTGCAGGGCGACAGTGATAAGCTCACGTTGCAAGAAGACCTCGACAGATTGTCACGGTGGTTCAGAGAATAGATGATCCTGATCAGTGTAGCAAAATGTGCAACCATGCGAATGGGACAAGCAAGCATCAGCTTCTACGAACTAGAGGGAATAACACTTCCATTAGTTCAGACTCACTTGGATTTAGGTGTCCGTTGGCCACGGTTTAAAAACTACCGCACACTGTCGCGCGGTGGCTGCACGCAGTTTCAGGTCTTAATGGGCAATTCGCAGAGGCTTCACTACAATCATCACCTCCTTATATACATCTCTTGTGAGGTCACGACTGGAAAACTGTATCCAGGCAGCCAGTTCTTGTCTAAAACAGGACCCACACATTCTAGAAAGGGTTCAAAGGAAGGAAACACGTAAGATTCCTCACATTACTAATCTATTATATGAGGAAAGACTAGACAGTTTAAATCTCTTCTCCGTGTCATACCGTAGGCAGAGAGGAGACTTAATTACAATGCTTAAGATTTTAAATAATTACTACGGACCTGACCTATCCTGCGAAGTTCAACAATAGCGTCCCAGGAGTACGAACGCTTCAATGACCTTGAACGCATGCTAGTCTTTGGCTAACGTCACCTTTCGTTATCATAGCTGAAATATCAACGCTATTCATAAATAAGGAGCAAGTTTCACCCAGATCATGCTTTCAATTACTGTTTGGACAATGTGTTAACATCTCATTAGGGTTAGGATAAGGGTTAAGCTATGTATTGAGGTTAGGGTTAGGTTTACAGCAGGATAAGGATTGTCATTAGGGTTAGGATTAAGGTAACGGCTTGTGTTAAGTTTACGGTTAGGGTCAGGATTAAGGTTAGGGTTGCGATTAGGGATAGATTTGTAGTTAATGTCGTTTATTTCAATTTGTTTCATTTTCCTTGTATGAAGTCGTCGATCCTCTTACTGAAACCATAGTAATTTAACCGAGGGCCCCGGCTAATAACTGCTACCTTGTCGTGGTTGTCGGGCTTGAATACCGTAATGACCCAACATGCTAAACTGACTGGGACTCTGTCCCTGCAGGTCCTGCCATGTCAGGAAGGTTGTTTGGATAGCGATTAAACTAAAAGCAGTTACCATAGGGTACACGGGCTGCAGTATCCAATCGGATCAAATGGCGTATGAACCCATATGGGTCACCGGAAACCATGGGAATGCAGCTCCTGACGCTGCTCCGCTGCCTTGCGAATTAGACTACAAGTCAAAGGCTCCGGCGGTGGTCCCTTAATAAAACCACCTGCTTCGGTCTTGGCGCCCGGGCAGTATCTCAGCCCTCACACAATGAATTGAATAAAGCAACAAACAATCAATGAAACTTATCGCGTGCTATTACGCGTGTTGCAATTCCCTTCTTTCTTCCCTTCCCGATGATAGTTAACCAATACTGTTTGAACTTGTTAAGCATGACTGCTTTCCTTCCGGATGAAGTTCTTTATCCGTTCTCTACTTATATAT